CAGTGGCTGTTTAAGAGAGTCTCATTAATATTATTAACATCAGTCCTGATATTAACATTAATGCCGAGCGTCTCTGTATTAACGGGACAAGTGAATCTACCTGTGATTTGTCCTCCCAGGTTTGTAGTTGCGTCGAATTCCTAAGAAGACGGGAGGAAGCAGTAGAGGAAGAAAGGAGGCACAGGGGTTGAAGCGAAGAGCACAGAGCACAGAGCACTCCTCCTCCTCCTCCTCCTCTGCGGCTGCACACCGACGGAAACTGACCCCCCCGCCCGCGCCGCCATGTCCGACCAGCAGGGGGAGCCGGAGCCCCCCTCGCTGTACATCCAGCACCAGTACATGTGCAGCGAGTGCGCCCAGCTCTTCAACACGCTGGAGGAGGTGCTGCTGCACCAGCAGAGCCACACGGGGCCGGACGGAGAGGGAGCCGAGGAAGGGGGGCCCGACGGAGCCCGGGGGGCCGCCTCCGACCCCCAGCTGTCCCTCGCTGGGCTGGGGGGGCTCCCCGAGAGCCAGTACCAGTGCCTGGAGTGCGGGGCGGTGCTGAGCACCCCAGAGGAGCTGCTCCTGCACCAGGAGCTGCACCTCCGGGAGGGAGGGGTGGAGACGGAGCAGGGTGAGGGAGGCTGAGGACGGGGTCTCAGGGCGGTGTGTGAGGGCGGGGTCTCAGGGCGGTGTGTGAGGACGGGAGGGAGGGGTGGAGACGGAGCAGGGTGAGAGAGGCTGAGGGCGGGGTCTCAGGGCGGTGTGTGAGGGCGGGGTCTCAGGGCGGTGTGTGAGGGCGGGGTCTCAGGACGGTGTGTCAGTGCAGGGTCTCAGGACGGTGTGTGAGGACGGTGTGTCAGTGCAGGGTCTCAGGACGGTGTGTGAGTGCAGTGTGCTCTGCTGTGTCAGTACGGTGTGTCAGTGCAGTGCGCCAGTACAGAGTACTGGGACGGTGCTGCGTGTGTGTGTGTGCGTATGTCAGTACAGCCTGCTGGGATGGTGCTGTGTGTGCGTGTGTCAGTACAGTGTGCTGGGACAGTGCTGTGTGTGTGTGTGTCAGTACAGCGTGCTGGG